GAAATGAGGGGTTTCACTATAGAAAGTTGTATAAGATATAGTGAAGGAAAAGGGTGCACCACCTAACATGAAAGCGATATAACTACACTAGGTCTACACTACAAGCAGTTATAGTAATGTATACAATTACATTCTGACAAAATCTTCGCGCACAGTGACCACGATCGTCACATGCCGAAGTCCTCCAACGGACTGATGCGCAATGCGACGAAGATGCTCGACGCCGCATGCAATCCGTTCCGAAACGGATGCTGCATGCAATCCGTTCCGAAATTGTCGACAACTGCGCGCGACAATGTGCTGCATGCAATCCGTTCCGAAATTGTCGCGCGCAGTTGTCGACCACACGCCGACGCAACTCGCACGACGATCTTGCTTCCGACATCTTCGGACGTGCACTGACGGAGATCCTGTCGACGTCAGCTGCCACACAAATTAACTCAGAAAATGCCGAAACGAATACCGGTACTGTTAACTCACGCATTAACTGCGACGACAGCAGAAGCTGTCCGCCACCCGGGGGGAGGGAGGCCACGGTCCATCTCGACCGTCGAGGGCAAGGATCCGTCGGTGCAGCAGGAGCGCCCGTAAAAACATGGCCGCTAGGAGCAACTATCCGTTCTCCTGGCCGGCTACTGCGCTGCTCCTGTCACCACGGCATCTTTCCCTGTCCCCCCCCCCCGAGGGGTAATACACTCTAAAAAACGGGGAACCCAGGAACTTAGGCTCTGATACCAGGTGTTATGAGTTGTACTAAGAAGAGTGCGCGGAAGACTTTATAAAAAGGATGTCGAATACAGAATTACTGAATGACGAGAATGATAAAGAGGCATGCATTTATAGGGTCGAAACCAGGCTAGGCGAGGATCTCGGGACGTGGATGGATTGGAAGTGTCGCGATTGGTGCGGGGCGACTCGGAAGTGGTTCGGGCCGAAGTGTAGGCCGAACCCAAACTGACGCGAACAGTTCGGGCTGTCCTCGCTAGGAGTAGCCTCGACAGTAATGAATTCACATTCATTACACTTTATTTGAGCTCATAACAAAGAGGAAGCATTTATGTGCTGTCGCGACGAAGACTATTGAATGCATTTATCCACAGTGAAGGAGCATGTCTTTTCGCAACTCGTGAAATCCTGCTGACGTGGATGAGCCGCTTTTGCCAAGTGCTCCTGGAAGGATAGCCGTCGATTGGCGTCGAGAGTTTTCTGAGCGGCCTTGTAGCCGCCTTCATGGGGATCTCGCCATCGGCTCACCCTGTTGGGGATGGAGAAGCGGTCAGCATGGCAAAACGCATCAACCCGCGATGACCCTATTGGCTGGCTCCCGCCACAATCCATCCATTCACTCCCCGTCATCGATTCAGCCACAGGCGATTAGCTTGAGACGTTGGTTTCGTTTCCCGTTTCTTGCCCGTTCTTCTTCCAACCCTCGCTTTTCTGCATCCTCGTCGTGCACACTCACCTGGCCATCTTGTCGGAGCACAACTCGCCTAGTGTCTGCGCCCTCTTCTCCTCAAACCCACGCCCCTAGTTTTGTCGCTGCGCTCTTGAATTCTCGAATTCTTCCCAAGGTGACAATTGATTTCCGCGCTTCTGTCGAGTGCTCTCTCCGTCCACGAGTAACCTAAAAATACCTACAGCTGTCATTATCTTTTCCGGGCGTTGCTGCTCCACGGAGGATTGGCGGGAATTCCGACCATCTGCGCTACTGTAGGGTAGGACTGCCGCGCCGCGACGAGGACCATGGTCGGGGGTGCCCGGCATGACGCCGCGCCATCGCTGACGAGCTCCAACATCTTCGCCGCGCTCGAGGGTCGCAAGAAGAAGTCTGCGTCCAAGAAGAAGGACAAAGCGCCCAAGGACGCGCCGCACGGAGCGCCAGCGGCGTCGCAAGCCCCAGGCGACGGTCAGATCTGGGGGTCGGCGGCCGTAACGGTGTCGTCATGGGCGGACTGCGAAGATGACGACGACGACTACTTCGCCACTGCCGCGCCCCCCCCGCCCGCGCAAGCCCACGCGCACGCTGGTGCTGGAGGCAGCCGCGCGGGCGAGGGCGCGGGCGAGGCGGAGGAGAGCGAATCGGAGGACGAGATGTTCGCCGACGAGGTGGGCGGGCACGAGGAGCACGAGGACGACGAGGAGGAGGACGAGAAACCGCACGCGCCTGCCGAGGCTCCGCCGTCGCAGCAGGAGCAGGCGGCGGCAGCTGCGGCAGCGAAGGAGAGGGAGAAGGAGCTGGATCGGCAGCTGTCGAAGAAGGAGCAGAAGAAGAAGGAACTCGCGGAGCTCGACGCCGTGCTTGCCGAGCTGGGCCTCGCCTCCGCCGACAGTAAACCCGCCGCCGACCAACAAGGTCAGCCTGCCGCCGTGCCGCGCGCGTGTGTGTGTCGCACGGATGGAAGTGCACCGCAACTTGAACCTCATCTTGCTCCGCATCTTGCACCTGAATTTGCACCTCACAAGGCTGCGTTGCATGTCCATCTTTTTCTCCATGCATTTCCTCGGGGTACCTCGTTGCTTTAACGAAAGGATTTTGGGAAGCGAGGAATTAGCGGGTCGGTCTGGACATGCGTAAAGAATATCCTGTTATGAGGCTTGTGCGGCCCGTTAGGGTTTTTTATGCCTTAGTCTCCAGCACGGCAGGGGTTTAGGGGAACGCTCTGCAGCGGTAGAGGGTGCGATAACGAGAAAGGCGCAGCTGGTGCTGTAAGATTTCTACCCGCGGAGTGGTGAATGGGGAGTGACGTGCTCGTCGCACACACCATGCGACCATTGTTAGGCCGTGGGAGGAGGTAGTTGAAATCAACCAATGTTTTTAAGAACACGGCCGCAAAGACAGCTGCTTGCGTCTGCGTCCGTTTGTTGCCGAGTGAAACCAGTCCTGTTGCGATCTACTCTCTCTCTACCTTTGCCTCTGTCCCCCACTCTCTATCGCTCTCTCCTGTCTTCCTCTCTCTCCCCCTCCCGCCCTCCCTCTCCCCTTCTCCCCCTCCTCTTCCGCCCTCCCCCCCCCCCCTCCTCTCTCTCTCGCTCTCTCCCTCCTCTCTCTCTCGCTCTCTCTCTCGCTCTCTCTCGCTCTCTCGCTCTCTCTCGCTCTCTCTCTCGCTCTCTCTCTCGCTCTCTCTCTCGCTCTCTCTCTCTCTCTCGCGCTCTCGCTCTCTCTCTCGCTCTCGCTCTCTCGCTCTCGCTCTCTCGCTCTCTCTCTCTCTCGCTCTCTCTCTCTCTCTCTCTCTCTCTCTCTCTCTCTCTCTCTCTCGCTCTCGCTCTCTCGCTCTCTCGCTCTCTCGCTCTCTCGCTCTCTCGCTCTCTCGCTCTCGCGCTCTCGCGCTCTCGCGCTCTCGCGCTCTCGCGCTCTCGCGCTCTCGCGCTCTCGCTCTCTCTCGCTCTCTCTCTCTCTCTCTCTCTCTCTCTCTCTCTCTCTCTCTCTCTCTCTCTCTCTCTCTCTCTCTCTCTCTCTCTCTCTGTCTCCCTCCCTCCCTCCCTCCCTCCCTCTCTCCCACTCTCTCCCCCTCTCCCGCCCACTCTCCCCCTCTCAAATCTATCTTCCGACCCGCCCAGCCCTCACACACACCCACACTCACTTATCCCACCTCTCTTTTATTCCTCCATCCTCCCCCCCCTCCGCGCTGCCCTTTCCGAATCTCCATGCCCATGTGTGCCGTTGTGTCTACCTCCCTCTCCTTCTGCCGCATGGCCTCTCTTCTCCGTCCTACACCACTCATCCCTCGCTCCACTCCTCCCATCTCTCCCCCCGCGCCCCCTTTTGCCCCTGTCCCCGTCGCCCTTGCTCCCTCTCCCCTCTTCCCCGCGCCTTCCTCTCCCGCGTGTACCGGTGCAGACGGCAAGAGCGGGGCAGCGGCAGCAACGCCAGCGTTGACGGAGAGCAAGAGCTCGAAGCGGCGCAAGGCGAAGAAGGACAAGGGCAAGGACAAGGACGCCAATGACACGGACAAGCCCAAGGATGAGCCTGCCAACGGCGCTGCACAGGCAGACGCGGACGCGGACGCAGCAGCAGCAGCGGTGGCAGCAGTGGATGCGGAGCGGCTGAAGAAGCTGGCCAGCAAGGCGGGGGGCAAGTCCAAGAAGGGCGGGTCGGCGGATGCTGCAGCTAAGGCTGCTGCGGAGGCCAAGGAGCGAGCAGCGCGGCTGGCGGCAGCCAAGAAGAAGGACAAGAGCACGCACTACAACCAGGCGCCACGCTAGGCACGAGCGCCTCAGCGCTTTGCTGCTCGCACACGTTTGAGGGATGCCAGGCGTTCAGCCCACGAGTGCTTTGGTGGGCTGGGCTGGGCTGGGAACTGGGCAGCATGCGTACAGCTGTTGATTCTGCCCTATAGGTCTGCGCTCTCTTCAGTCGCATGGCTTTGGTGTCCCGTTCGGATCTAGGGTTGGGCTTGCGTGGAAGATTTTGTTAGGCACAGATGCTTTGTTTTTCGCAAGCTGACTGGAAAGGACTGGGCTACCCAGTGGTGACAGTCCAATCCAACGGCTCTAGCGTACATTGCTCTCTGTTACGGATGGCACAAATTAGTGGAAGGTGAGTGAACTTCCCTAAAACAGCTGAAAAAGGAGTCCTGGTAGTTTGCTTTCAGTTGCCCAGTGCCCCACTGGTACTGGCTTTGCAAAACCCTTTGACCTCTCACACAATTGAAAGTGAACAATGGAGGTCTTTAAATGCTGTTGTTGCAAACAATATCCACTGCATTGCGAACCAATGATCCTTCTCCCTGACATCTTGAATCATACCGTACTTCCCAGATGCTTTGTTGTAATGCAAGTGTGCAACACAAGTCCCTGACAACTCGACAGCTCAAGGCAAAACTGTGTGTGGAGCCCAAGAGGCAGCTATGGCTGCTCCCGCCCTTAACTATTGGACAGCCGTGGCCTTGAAAACATCAGTGTGAGCTGGAGAGGGAGCAGCACGTGAGTGGAGCTCTCAGCTGCACCCATGCACGCGACAGCTCTGATGCGTGAGACAGGCTGGGTGTGGGAGGGCAGGGTCATGGCAGCTTGGGGCGGCACACGTATGTGATGGCGTGGTAGGTCGATGCCACCACGTGCTGCCAGCCGCGCAGCACACAGATCGAAGCACACACACCAGGGAGGAAGTGAGGCGAATAAAAAAGATATTGGAATTCTTGTGGGGATGTAGCTCACACAAGTGCTTCAGTGAGGGGCGATTGTGCTAGAATCAGAAAAACACAAAGCTGTAAGTGTGGCGAGAGGAGATGGTGCTAGAAGCCCAACACGCAAACCCGTGAGTGCTGAGCAAGTGGCGTAACGAGAACTGGCCATTTCTGATCATTCTTTTGAACAGGCCTGGGACAGTGGTGGTGCAGGAACAAGCATGAAAGCTGGTAGGTCGGAGTGTATGCAAAGAGCAGCACAAGGCGCTGGTAAAGAGCGACACACGGTGGTGCAGGGTGACACACAGTGGTGCAGGGTGACACAGGGCGATGCAACACACCTGACCGAAAGAGGGTTCGACATCGAAGGAGTTGATGGCGTGTGGCGCGTGCATGATGTCCTGCACCGCTCCTCCTGAGGGCGGGGGCACGGCCATGCACGCACATGCACACTCACACATGCACATGCACATGCACGTGCACACATGCACACATGCACACGCACACACATGCACACACACACACGCACACATGCACACGCATGCGCTCGCATGCACACACAAGCACAGGGAGGAAACGCTCGCTGCAGCTCTACCCCTGCGATGAGGCTGGTGGTGGGAGCAACAGTGTGGGAAGAGAGCACGGGCGTGGAGGAAGTGGAGCGGTGGTGACAGTGCAGCCGTGGCGGTGATGCTGCACCCATGCATGCACCCAAGGCGCATCCCCCCCGTGCTCACCTGCATGCAGCAGGGAGAGAAGGCCTTCATCGCAGCAAGCCAGCATGGGCGGCACGGCAGCAGCGCCCGAGGTGGTGGCAGCAGCGGGGCGCGCGGAGGAGAGCAGCGAGAGGTGTGTGAGCGGGTCAAACTGCACCTCCCACACGTCCCCCTGCGCCCACTCCGCCCCGCGCACACCGGGCGAGGGAGAGGCGGGCAGAGCAGCGGAGGAGCCGAAGAGCATGAGCGGGTGGTGCAGGTGGCGCAGGTCCCACGCCACCACCGCGCCCTGTGACCCCGCTGCCTGGTACCGTGGCACGCGGGATGAGAGGGGCAAGGGGAAGTGGGTGGGGGGGTGGGTGGTGGTTTGGGGAGAGGAGACAAGGCAGTGGTGAGAGCGCGAGGCACGTGGAGGTGTAGATGGCAGGCGGGTGGGGCGAGCACGAGTGGGTTGTGCGTGGGTGCAGGTGCTGAGACAAACAGTGTGGCAGGGACGTTGGGTGCAAGAGGCATGCATGTGGTGGCTCAGGTGGTCGGGCCAGGAGAACGTATTGCCTGTTACCTGGTACGCTTCCCACAGCAGCACGTACCACAGCAGTGCTAGGCCATACCAGGGCGAGGTGATTGCGTGACGGATGGATGGCAATGTCGTTGATGCCCCCCACTGCACACGGTGCTGCCCGTGACCTGCAGGGCGCGAGGGCGCTCAGCACGCACGGTGGGGGGAATAAGCACAGAGCAAGCAACCACATAGCAGGCGCACGCGGCAGAGGGATGCACTATACATACATATGCATGCTGCATACCCACGCGCGCACATGCATGAGGCAGGGCATGGCAGCAACGGCAGCAGCACTCACCACGCAATGCTGCACGTGGCAGCGGGTGCATGAGCAGGCCCCGCCCGCACGTCCCACAGCTGCACGGCGCCCCCCATGCTGCCTGTCACTGCCTCCGCCGCCGCGCGCCACCTGCCCGCCGTCACCGCCACAGCCCCCGCGCCCCCCCCCTGTGCGCCCCCTGCGTCCGCCAGCAGTGAGTCCGCCACCCACTGCCCCGCCACCAGCGCCATGGCCTGCAGGCGCCCGTCCGCGCCCGCGGAGAGGCAGCGTGCATTGTCCGCGCGGAAGTCCACTGCTGTCACGCGTCCCTCGTGCCCCTGCCCGCCCTGTCCCCCCGCTCCCCTTGGTGCGGCTGTGATCAGCGCTATGCCTCTGTCCCCGCCCGCCTTTTCCCCCTTGCCTCCCACCCCGTCCACGCCCCCACCCACCAGCAGCCCTGTCCCCGCCCTCCTCTTCCCCTCATCACTCCCAGCACGCGCTTTGCCCGCCCCATTTCCCCCATCCACTCCCTCCATGCGCTCGTCGCCCCCGCGCCCCTCACCCGTCTCCCCCTGCTGCAGCGCCTCTGCGAGCGCCCCCTCGGCGCCCAGCACGTCCCATCCGTCGAGCAGCAGCGCGCTAACATGCCCGCCGCGCGACCCCAGCAGCAGCAGCGACCGCCCGTCGGGCAGCGCGCACACGGACAGGCGGGACGCGCGCGCCGGCAGCTGCCACGCGCCCAGGGGCGCGAGCGTGGGCAGAGGGGGCGAGGCGGCGGGGGGCGAGGCGGGGGATTGCGGCGGGGAGAGGAGGAGCGCGTGCAGGTGCGCGGAGCACGTGCGGTAGTCCCACGCGGCGAGGGCGAGCGGGCGATCCGCCTGCAGCGGGGAGAGCGCGGGCAGCCACCTGCGGGGAGAGGGCGAGCGGCGAGAAGACAACGCTGAGACAAGCTAATGCTGGGACTGGGAGAGGCGCGATGCGCGAGAAACAAGCAGAGGGCGAAGCAGAAGAAAGGCATAGAGAAGCGAGGATACCTGATAACGGTATGAGAGCGGCAGCGGGCGAGGGTACCTGACGACATCGGGGTGCTGGTTGAGCGGGATGTGCGCCGTCGCCATCACGGCACGCCGTGCCGATGACAGCTCAAGGGCCTGCTGCAAGGCGCTGTTGGGTGATGCTGGCAAGAGGACAGGCACAGCTTCTCTTCGTCCGTTTCAATTCAAAACCCAAAAATGGAAGACAAATTATTGGCAGATTTCTTACTCAGTAGCACCTCAGCACCGCGTACAAGATGACCGTTCTTCGCTCGTTAAAACGGTAATCTTGTATGCGTACTAAGCTTCAATATACATTTGAATGGAGGGGTGCAAAATCCTCAGGAATTTGAAACTTTGTAGTGAAACCGTAAGGCACACTCCCTAAATCCAAAACCCGAATGACAATTGTATACTCGAGCTACGTTTAGCCGCCTTCGTGCGACACTTTTGCCCAGCCTCACACGGCTGGACTAGCCGAGTCAGCCTACGCTTTGGGACTAGCTCGAACCCCGATGCCAGCATCGCACTAGCTAGCTTGTGCTGGAGTAAGCGGGAATTAACTTTAGCATTCCTGAAGGTGCAGCTGTATCGCATCCGCTACTACCGTGCAAAGTTGTCGTCGCCCACTGCTGCTGTTCGGCTGCACCTCCTGTACACCCGACCACGAAGTCGGCTCCGCCCAAGCGAGGACGGGGCCAACAACCGACTCCCATTGACACTCCCCTGCTGCGTTCAGGCTTGGGCCTCCACTCCACACGGCAATACCACTCAGAGAAGAGCTCGTCGGCGTGCACACAAAGCACAACACGCCGTCATTGTACCAGCCATACAAAAAGGCATGGTACCTACTGCTGCACGTCGTCGTCATAGTCGCCAACGTCGGCCAGGCGCACTTGGCCGATTGCGATGGAGCACCGGTTAAAGGTTGGGTAGGGCAACGCCTTCGTCAGGAAGTTGGCCAGCGCTCGGTGGTTGGGATATACTTCAGCGTGAACTCCCCGCGCTTCACCATGTGCTGCAACCATGCATACCGCTGCTCCATGTGCTTGAGGTTGCCCTGCAGCCCCAAGCCCTCGGCGACCGTAATGACCGATTTGTTGTTCACACGAAGGACCGTTGGCGTCCGAGCGTCTAGAACCCGGAACTATGCCAGGAGGAAGCGGAGTCGGTGTCCATGCCCTCATATTCGTTTTTGGGCTATCTGATTCGTGAGATAGTACAAAAAAAGGATGAAATTTCAGAGTCTGTTTAATAAAAGGTATGATCACTCAGAGTTTGATTCAATGAGAAGTCTGATTGCGTTCTAGTGAGTGGGCTGTTGTCCTTTGTTAAACCACAATAGTTAAGACACCATACATCTAATCCAATCCAAACAAAGGGCATGCGTACTATCCTCCTCTCCTCTCCTATAATCCTACTCATTGAATCCATCACCATCTCCTCATCTTCGCCATCGACAGCTTGTGCTTCTGTGTGCCGGCGTGAGTATGGAAGGAGTGGGTCCGCACGTCAGTGGCACCTTTCCCGCACCTCCCGCACTTGCCTGCATCGCCATCATGGGCAGAACAAGCACTGCACTTAAACGTATGCAAACTCGTGAGAGTTTTAGTTAAAACAAGCCAGGGAAAATGAGAGGACCAGTAAGCCCTGTATTTCTCAACTGCATCCTTGTAGAAGTCTTCGATAGAATGGTGCGAGGCAGAACCAACAGTAGGTTCTTGGGCTGTCTCTTTGACATGAGAATCTGAAACTGAAGGTGCAAGTTCTTTCGAGGTTGTACTATTAACAGGCGTGGAGCGTGCCGCTTTCCCGAGTGCCGCTTTCGTATTATTCTAAGCCTGTTCAAGCAAGCTGGGGCATCACAATCGTCATCGCTGTGGCAGGATCGTCCTGCTCCACCATGGCAGGGTTCTGGGGGAGCCTGACGAGCAGGAACTAGGGAGGTGGTTAGCAAGAAGAACTGGAGACTGGGGCCAATGAGTTGAGGCACAGGGTGGGGATGAATCCTAGCTCAAACACGATGGTCGTTTAGCCCACCACGAGTGTGAGAGTAGTGTTGGTGCAACCCTACGGTTTGCACTTGACTTGTTGTCCATGTGCGTGCATGCATGTGTGCATGGAATGGTATGAGGGCATGGGATAATATATATTTCAAGCTTGTAATAGTGTCTAAATGTTGAGTCATGATGTCAAATGTGTGTGTCGAGTCAATAGCGAGTCATAGCTATCGCGCGTCACGCGGTCGTTTGTGTCCCGTGCACGCTTTTTATCTTGTCGTGTGTAGAACGATCGGCGTGTCGCAGGTGTGTGCAGCAAACCCATCAAGAACTCAAGGATGAGTTTGTGATGAAGAACCAGAGCCTTGGTTTCAAAATTCAAGTGATCGTGAAGCCCGCAAAAAGGGTGCACATCAAGATATTGAGAACAGTTGCATTAATTTGTGTAGTGTAACATTTCACTTGGTGTAGGCCCTTGTGAAGGGTAGTTTCGAGAACCTTCGTGGTTGGGGACAGTGTGGCACTGTCCACATCACTGTACATTGGCTCTTGGGGTTTGTAGGAGCTGGGAGTCATTCCCAACTCGTAACTCTTCCTAATTTGTGGTCCAAGACGGGCTGCCATAGTGCAGTTCGTTCAAACGGACGCTGTGTCGTCAATACTTGGTATTGTGCGATCGAAATTGCCTATTGTAGGCAACATTAAGACGCTCCAGATCCAATTTGAATCAGGTATTTGAAGCGGTGACCAGAACGCTATGAACGTTTAATGCCGCTATGTAGAAAACTGACTGTGCACTCTCTCTTTCGTTTTAGGCACATTCAAGGCTATTGTGACGGTAACAAGTGGTATCAGAGCACCTTGGAGCAGCTAAGACGATGGCTGGACCTGAAGAAAGGGGTGACAAAGGTGCTGGAGGCAGTGGAGGACCCCAAGCACAAGGTCAACTCCGTGATTCAGCCATGGCGCCTGTGCAACCTACTCTTGGACCTTCTTGGGATGAACCAAGAGTGTTCGGGCTTGACAAGTTCAACGGTGAAACCTTTGCTGAGTGGTCCTTCAGAATGGAGAACATGTTTGACCACTATGACTTGCTGGAGGTGATGGAAGGAACGGAGAAGCACCCCGTGAACGACCCGGAGAAGAGCCCGTATGTGCGGAAGAGCGCACAAGGTTATCTCCTACTTGGGCAAGCGTTGGGGAGCAGCCAAATCCGTCACATCAAGCCATTCCACCGTGAACCAGAGAAGGGACCAAAGGCATTGGCTGCTCTAAAGGGTGTACATACTCCTGCAACAGTGGCGGTAGCTGTTGTGTTGGAATGACAAATGGCGACACCACGAATTGAAGAAGATGAATCTGTGGAAGAAGGGGTGTAGAAATTCTTCGACTTGTTGACGCGGCTTGAGGGAGCTCATTTGAACTACAGTGAGCTCCAAAAGAAGACCAAGTTACTGGCCCTACTTCCTGAGTCATGGTCCTCGCTCATTATCAACTTGATTTGTGACTTGCCCTGCCTCTCGCTTGAAGACGTAAAGCGAGCAATCATTCAAAAGGATTTCTGCTGCCGTGAGTTGGCGAGTGCGGATGGCGCCGGGCCAGCAAGCATCGGCCGGGGGTACAGTCGTGGAAGGGGCAGAGGACGAGGGGGGGTCATATTTGGCAGCAACAACTTCAATGGAGGCCGTGAGAGTGGCGGTTACGGCAGCGACGACAAGAGCTACGGACGCGGTCGCGACCAATTCGACGGCGAGTGCCACTTTTGCCACAAGATCGATCGCTACAAGCTTCCTGATGGATGGACCCCTACTCAAGGACAAGAGTGTAGAGGAGCAGGATGAGGGAGAGGAAGAGGCTGTGGAGGCTGTGGCGGTCGCAGAGGTTGAGCTGCAAATATGAAGAACGAATATAACGGCAAAGACTTGAGCGACGATCAATTCCCGGGTCAATTCTTCTTCGTATCTACGCAAGCACCGGCTGCACCAGAGAAGGATGAATGCTTTCAGAAGCCTGCTGCTGTGGGGAAGGTGACCCTACACTCCCTGGACTATTGGGTGATCGATAGCGGCGCTACCTACAGCATGATCCCTCGCGCGGACTTGCTCACTGAACATGAACTGTCACCGGTGAAGCATGTTACATCGGCTTTGGGGCAGCGAGCAGAGGTGAAAGGCATGGGCAAGGCTATGTTCAAGGGTGCTGATGGGAAAATGATGGTCCTCAAAATCGTGCTTTGGGTGCCAAATCTTGCTGCAAACCTGATTTCCGTGCGGCGGTTGCAAAAGGCCGGCATGGATACGAGCTCGAAGAGAGCCAAGACCTACACCGCAAGGATTGGCGAGCGGATTCTTTGGGACCTTCATGAGGATAGGGATGTCTACAACGAGATGTGGCAGATCTTTGTGGTCTTCATGCCTAAGGAGAGGCAAGTGGTAGCAAGCGCCAGCACCAAGGGTGAAGCGGTTGGTAGCGGCGATGACACGAACGGTCGCGCTAAGGAGAATGAGTCCAAGAATCGCAAACTTGGACGGACCAGCAAGCTCAGTGAACACAAGGAGAGTGGTGCAGCAGCTAAGACGCAGCATAAGGGTGAGAAGAACCCCAAGGCAGCAGCGGAGGAGGACTACGGAGAGAGCATTGTGGGGCACTATTGTGAGCATGGCATTCTCCAATCCGACTTTGGCTACGGGGGAGTGTGATTGGCTCACCTTGCATTGGCGAATGGGGCATGTGGCCGTGCCTATCTTGCAGCAGCTAGAAAGGGAAGAGATGGTTGCTGGCATACGTGTGAAGGGGGAGCCCAATGAGGTACTTGACTGCCCGACGTGCATACAAGCCAAGTTCACCCGTTTCCCGTTTTCGAGTTCGGAGGCAACGGGTAAGGCACCACTTGATGAGGTGGTGATGGACGTGGTGAGCCCCTTGGAGCTTGGAGCTGCTGGAGTTGAGTATTTCCTCACCATTGTCAACGTCTACATCCGCATGACCTGGGTGTATGTGCCATCCAAGAAGAGCGACGTGGCTGAAACGGTGAAGACCGATTGGTTGCCGATGGTGGAGCGGCAACAAGACCGGCTAGTCAAG